ACTCTGAACACGCATCTGACAGGCACCAAACGTGTAGAATTACACAAAAGCAAGTGAGTTTTCAATGTTAATTATTATTACGTCTATTTGATAAATGTGATTTAATATACGGCTCTAAATCTCAGTCAGAGAGGAATTAAGATAATTATTTTGTTTAATTTCAACACAAGTAGCAGGTACTTTATAAGAAAAGTGGACAGCAGCAAATTTAAATATTTGTTTTGTTTCATTGTTCGTTTCATAGCACAAATCAGAAAATGGATAAAAACAAAGTGGGAATTTTAGTGACGGATTTTGTATTGTTAAATGTGAACCTTTAAAACAGTTGATAAAAGGCCGACAAAGTAAAAATATTATTTTTTTTTACCGATTTTCACGAGACTCTGAAGATTATAGCTGTTTTCTCGAGTGGTTTAATATTTACTAACTTTCTTTTACACTAAAACATTTTAATCCGAGACCGATACTGTAACACAAACTGATTCGTTTTTGCAACCACTGTTCAAAAAAAAAAACGATCATTTATACGACTTGAATTGTCTCTGAACTGTTGAATACTTAAGAGACTTTAAAATAGACTCCTAAAGCTCAAAGCAGCACTATTCCGCATATATTGTGTTTTAATTAAAAAATTAAGTAAATGCGATGTCAGAGGATGGTCACCTCAGAGAAATAGTGAGATTGGTGGGACGGTTGTTCCTTACCCGTCCCCGTTTTTCGTTCATTGTTCGTTGTACATGATTTTTGCTCAATTAAATCCGCTAATACATCAATTAATTCGTTTGCACGCGATTTTGAAGATGATAATTTGATTGGCGTTGGTAATTCTGATAAAGACGGCATAGCTGGCGGTGTATTGGAATGATGTTCGGAATGTTTTGCAATTGTTCTTGATAATGACTCTCTTCTTTTTACATCAGAATAATGCCGTCTTTTAACCGAATCAGAATCTCGTGTTCTTGATTGAGTTTGCGACTTTACTTCGTCTTGTAGTTCTTTCGAATAATTTCTTCGATTAGAAGATTGTTCACGTGATCGTGACTTTCTTTTCAATTTATGGCGATAAGATTGATGTAAACTTCGATGACAGGCAGAATGTGAAGAATGAGAAGAAGAGTTACAAGAAGAAGATGATGAACTAGAACGATAACGTTTTTTACTATCTAATGTTGCTTTAGCTCGTATTAGATGATCTTCAATTTTCCACTGTAAACGAAAAAATTCAATCTCATCATTGTCTACTCGTGGTAATATTGGTTGCTGAGAATTTGTTATCGGTTCTTGTTCAACAATTATAGATGGTGTTGGAGAGGAATACGTTGGTTGAAAATAGAGACAATGAGATTGTTGATAGTAATTCAATGGCGGTTGGATAGAGGAATTGTGATTTGACGATTGACATAAGGAAGAAATATAAGGCGATATCGGTGGACTGATCAATGAAGTATCTGTAACTAAATTAATCAGAAACATAAAGAATGGTTATTAAATAAACAATAAATTGATAAGTACTAAAAATAATTCTGACAAAACCATAATATTCACAAAAATTCACTCATGAGGCAAACAAGCTCAGCAAATATTACCTTCTAGGAAGTTTAGAGTGGACTGACGTCTACATCAAACATAGAAATGGAAAAATATCTAACGTGATCACTGTTTACACAAAACAACCCTATCGTTTTCCCAGAAATCTTTACCATAATTATTCACTGGATAAAGTAATGAATGTTGTTGATAATAAGGTGCACGATACGGATGACTCTGTTGTTGGAAATGTGAATACATTATATCAGTTGATGCAGGAGGTGTTGGAGAATATGGATTGTTATAATAATGATTTTGTGATTGTAATAATGATTGCTGCTGTGAATATAGTTGGGGACGAAACGTTACACTGTCGCCATTTACTTTACCATTGAGTAGATGAACATTATTCGGTGATGAAGACTGATGTTGAATATCTGAAATTATATGAAAGATAAAATAGGCCTACTTCAACTTCATTTTGACTTACTTATAGACTTTGTTTGATTACGATTCAAAGGCGGTGACGATAATGTCAATGATTTATTATGGCCAACTTTAACTTCATTCATACAATTTTTGTGTTTTTGTTTTGTATTCGTTTTTCTTTCGTCGTCTTCGTTGGAAATAACAGTATTTACTGTTGACGTTGGAATGATGACGGTCGCCGTTGTTATTGTTGTTTGAGGTTCAAGCTTTAATTTTTTATAAGGTAAAACATACTGTTGCTGTCTGGTTTTGAATCGTTGCAATGTTCGACATTGTTCAGACATAATATCAATAATACTTGATGGTTGAATATGATACTTTTGTAACACATAATTTGGAACTAAATCAAATGTACTATATTTCAAACGAACACATTTTGGTAAACGATAATAGACAACAAATTTCTAAAAAAATTAAAACATTCTGATATAGTATGAAGTAGAATGTGATCTCAAAAGTGATAAAAAAACCGTATATATTTTGATCTATTCTAGAAAACTAATTTGATCATCCACTTGTACTATTGTAGGTTTCACTATTTATATGTTTTATGTATAATTTCACAAGTCTGCCGTTCACTTCTTAGCACCGTTCTATCATATAGTGGCCTCTTTCCTGATTCGCACAGAAAAGTTCAACATGGCTGTAAGTGTCTTTTGATATTAAGCAGAATCAAAAGAAAATTTCACAAAAAACATATGTATAATGATTTGTTCATAACATAGTACTATATTTTAGTTTGTTGCTTACTGCTTCTAATTTGGGCATATCTGAATGTGTAACTTGTCGTTCTTTCATCTTCTCCATATGTTCATCGGAATTAATATGCTAAAGTAATAGATAGAGATACAGAAAACAATTTATGATGATAAATACGTTAAATCATTTTATGATCATGTTGTAGATGCGTTGAAACTTTCAGAACCCGTTAGGTATTACCTTTTGTAATCTGTATAAATCGATAAAATATTTATTACACAATGGATCATGATAGAGAGATTGATCTCTAAAATATGGTGCTGAACGATAAAAATCATTGATAATGTCAATTTCTTTTATCTCATTTTCTGTCATTGGATTATGACCGGTGTATATTTCCTAAAACAAAGCATACAAAGAGAAAATAGGATCAACATCTAAAAATATTTGTTTTCAAACATACAATTAATTGTGCACAACGATAGCGTGTCGATAATGAATTTAAACTTAATTTTGATTCTTGACGATGATGACATTTCATTTCAAGATGCTAGACAAAAAACAAATAGAAATGATTGATTCCAGTACGTTAAAACAAATCAAACTTTTGTACAATTAATTTTAGTAAAACTACAGCTACCTCTGCATCAATTCAATCTTTCAGGAAAAAAATCAACGTCGTGTTAATATGATGGTTGTTACTTCTCTTGAGAAAATGTTTTAATAATTTGTGTTAATAATCTCCTTTTCTGTCATGCTAATATACGTACTGTTAATAATGAATTTTCTTTAAGAAAAAATGCTTTACATAAATCACAATAAAATCCATTCGTTTTATCCGACATTGTTTGATGAGCTAATCTTTGATAATATTGAAATAGACGTTTATGTTCTTTTTGACTAACACTTATTAGCATATCATTTACTAATAACTAAAAAGAAATAATCAAAAAAACAAAAACTAAATAAAAATTAGAAACGGTGATAATTGTTAATTTTTCTTTACCTTGCATTGCGATAATACTTGATCGTGCTCATTCTCGTTGATTTCTGAATCATATAGTTTTGATACAACTAGCTGAGATCGACGTTGAATTCGTTTTCCTAATACTGAAGGTATATGTCCAAAACGCTTTATTGTAGCTTCATCTAATTCAAATAATGTATGACGTCGAATATAAGCTAGAAATAAAATTGAATAAAGCATATTTTTGTCATTAAAAATATAGTTAATTTTGTTTTCTTGTAATTAATTTCAAATAAAACTGCAAAGATAAGGTTTAGAACATCTCAGAAGTTTAGTTGAATATTTGCAAACAATAAGAGTGTCCTGAAAAATCAAACTATTTTAATATCAGAAAGAAGTTCATACAAAAAAACATAAGAATCTCATGACTTTACTTTTGACTTTGATCAAAACTCTTTGTATTTTCAAGGAGATGTGAGCGAGACAACTTAGAAACGAACACTGACGAAACGAAACGGAAATTTTCCAAGAAGCAGTAGCTGTAGAGAATTTTTCTATGAGACGAAACGAAAATGTCATGACACAGGACGAGATGTTCGATTCATCTCTGTTTCTCAATACTCTGCACAAAAGAATCAGTATGTATCAGTTGTTCATAGACAGAGGTAATCGTATTATTTTTATTCAAACAACTACTGTTTTCTAACAGCATATCTAAAATTTAATCTATAATCTTTACCATCTGGTAATTTTTTATAAAAGTAATAATTTTCCTTTGGTAGTTTTAGAACATTTTGATCTAATACATGTTGAGCTAATTTTTGTCGAATTGCTTGTTTTGTTTTACCAATAGCACGATAACTTCTTCCATAAATATACAAAATACCTTCATATTGTTCTTTAATGTTGTTTGAAACGCGTTTAAAACCAATACGAAATATATCTGTGAATAATTCGATCTAAAAATTAATGGATATAAAATTTTTTTGACAGTGACAAAGCAATGATGGATCTAGAATATTTTTCTGATGGATGTGTACTGAAAACACATTTAAAAAAATATGTTTTGCTAGTAAAAAATCAAAATTTTCTGTTTCCGTTAACTGCGACCGCATCCACTGTAAATCTACCACTGCGACTAATAGGAGAAAACCAATCTACATACTCGATTAAAACGTGCAACAAATAACAATATTTCCAGCGGTGATCGAGGTAATGCTTTATTCTAAATAAACACAAATAAAAAGTTGAGGTTTGAACGTATAGAATTGTATGTTTTGGGCAAGCAGATAATTTCAGACTATTTATAAGTCGAACTATTGGGGAAAAGAAACAGATTTTCACTTACTTTTAATTGTACAATTCTTTTCGTATGTTCATCCGAAAATATATGTTTTCTCCATAAAACCAAACTGTTATTAAAATCAGCCGAACAATTTTTACATGATAAACCGTACGTGCTCGTAGAATTCATATCATCGAATAATAAATTTTCATTCTGATACAATAAAAAGTCTACTACTCTGAAAAAAAGGCAAAATAAATCGACAGTTTTTCTCTTAAAAAGTAACAGAGAAAAATAAGAAAATTTTGTCTGTGTCTATTGCCAGTATTCTTATGGATGAAAGAATTGTTCATATTGTAAGGAGAAATTTGTGTTTTACGAATACACATTGTTTGAAGATAACGGCTATATTTGTATAAAAAAATAGATAGAAACAGACTGATGTCTGCGATGGTATAAACAATATTTGCATATATCACACTTTAATATGCTGTGTACTTTTATCATTTATTGTTTACAAACTGAACAAAATATTGTGTATTTGACTTTTATCACGTTATTATTTATTATATGAAGAATATCATGTAGTTGTTCCGAAACGATGATAAATGTTTTGATCTTAGCACTTCAAAACGTGTCGGAATAAGTCTACAAACATTTAGGAGTCGTAGACTCTAACTGTGCCTTGTCGAATTGTACACGTGCCATAAATGGTTTAAATGAGAGAGATAGCCAGCTCTCACCGTATCAGATCATTCGTCGTAGCCGTTCCCACAATAAAACTAAGAGGATAAGTAATGTAACAAGAAAAACAAGCTCATCGTTCAACGCTAGATATAAATCTTACATTGAGTTTAATAAACATTTGAACTGAACCTGTTACTATTATAGCATTTTTTTTATGAATTAAAATAATCATATTCCTTTTCTGTTCTGATACCTATTCAACTGAAAACGGTCGAATCATCACTGCTGCTGCCGTCAAAAGTAAAATATAATAAAATTTTTGCAATTTTGTGTTTTTATTATTTGAATGAAAAATACGTACGTATCGCGCGCGCATAGAAGAGAAGAAAGAAAAAGACGAAAATCGATAATATTTTTGTGTATAGTAAGACAAAAAGTAATGACACAGAAAAAAACGTTTGCTATTTCCTCTTCTATAAGATCAAAGTTACAAACAGACACATACGAACATTTAGAGCGACACGAGAAAACGAAAAATAAACAGAAAATGATATAAATAAAAGAAAACGTAATTAAACGAATCAAATTAAGGGAAAATGTGAAGGTTGTTAATATTTTTACTTCTTTAACATAACCATTTTGTTTTTCTATAGAGATAAATTACATAGAAAGACAGAAAAAGAAACAAACAATCGAAATACGTTATTATAAGATATCTATATTTATGTATATATGCAGAGAACCAAAATAGAATTAAAATGCAAATTTTTCTATTTCAAATCTCTTCAATAGTACTGATGCTAACGATAAAATTTGAAGAAAAAAACAACAATACTAAATCACAAGTTTTCTAACATTGACATTTAGAATCTTTTCCATCTTGTGCATCTTCTCTTCCACCGTTTGCCCCTATTCGATTTGATGGTGGTTTGGGTTGTACACCTGTTTCAGCTGCATTTAAATCCAAAGAACCATCTTGAATATTTTGATAAATTTTTCGTGCTGTTTCAATAAATGCATCTTCAACATTATCACCTGTTTTCGCCGAAGTTTCCAAAAATAATAAATCATTTTCATCAGCAAAACGTTTTGCTTCTTCATACGTAACTTCACGTTGACCATCTAAATCAGCTTTATTACCTAAAATAGAAACAAAAAAAAAACAAATGAATATGAGATTTAGATATAAACAAGTATCTGTACTCAAAAATGTTTACATTTATGCTAGATTATTTAAGAAAAAAAGAAATTTCATTGCATATTTTGTTTTCTCTCACAAGGGAGAAATGTTGGAGACGTACCAATTAGGAAAATGACTGTATTTGGATTTGTTAGAGATCTTGCATCTGTTAACCATCCACTTAAATGATTATACGTTGCTCGCCGCGTTATATCATAAACCATCAATGCACCGGCTGCACCACGATAATAACTTCCTGAAAAGTAGAATGTATAATCAGATAAACAAAATACTGATATAGCAAAGCAAAATAGAGAAAGTAAAAATTACGAACTTGTAACGGCACGAAAACGTTCTTGACCAGCAGTATCCCTAAAAAATATGAACAAAAAACAATTAAGCAAGAAAGATAGTTCAAAGGCGACTATGATGTTTTGACCACAAAACGGGATATATGTAGGTTTGTAGAGGAAGATTTCCACTATCTAGTGGTGTATATATTATCAAATTCTGTTGCGTACCGTGAGAGAAAATTAAAGTTAACCCCTCTTTTTTTAGATTCTTTTAGAAGTTTTTTTTATTTTTGAGTTAAATGTTCTACATTATAGAGTAAAGTGTCCTCTACAAAGTAAGACCGCTTCCAGCTTTCCAAGACCGTCCGTTGAGGAGATACAAATTTTTTAAAGTTTGTTACTTTACGCTGAAAAAAACCTACTTTTTTACTTGCAAAACGTTTTTCTGTTTCATTCAGTAGTTGATAAACTTTTGATACAGTCAGGCTTATAAAGTAAAGGTTTCTCTACAAAATGAGATGTCTCCCAGCTCTCCATTATGTTTTTTGATAGAGTTATGATCATTTTGGACGGTATCTCATGTGACTTTTTCAAAGACTTCCAACAAAATGATCATAACTCTATCAGAAAACATGGTGAAAAGTTAGGATACATCTAATTTTGTGGGGAAATCTTTACTCTACCAGACTGACTGTTTCAAAAGTTTATCAAGTACTGAGCGAAAGAGGAAAGAGTTTCGAAAGTAAGAAACTAGGGTTTTTTCAGAATAAAGTAACAACCTTTAAAAAATTTATATCTCCTCAACGAAAGGTCTTAGAGAGCTGGAAGTAGCCTTGTTTTGTAGAGGACACTTTACTCTATAATGTACAATATTTAACTCAAAAATAAAAAATATTTCTAAAAAAGTGTAAAAAGTGAGGGGTTACCTTTAATTTTCTCTCACGGTACGCAACAGAATTTGATAATATATATACCACTAGATAGAGGAAGTCTTCCTGTACAAACCTACATATATCCGGTTCTGGGGTCAAAAATTACCATGAAAGTCATAGTCGCCTTTACAATGTTTCATTGTAAATGACCTTTAATATGATTAACTATGTTTAAAAACTTCTCACACACGTAATCAGACTCATTAGCTTTTCTCTGATATCCTTCTCTCGAAAATATTTCATGAAAAATGCCACAAATAGAACGAAACGGCATCAAACAGTAGAGATACTGTTTGTACCATAAGTAGGAAAACAATACACTATCGAAGACAAAAATAAATGATCTCATACTTGAAGGTGAACAAAATACATGCATCGTTTTTTTTTTTTACAAGGATACACTTCAAATTCAAAAATTCAAAATGGTAGCAGAATGAACTTGTATCTACCATATTTGTAATTTAATTTTCTGCCCATTAACTTCAATAATTCGTGTTCCAAATTCAACACCAATCGTATGAGGACAATCGGCCATAAATTTTTTCTCTGTAAACTGATGCAACAAGCAACTTTTTCCAACTCCCATATCTCCAATAATAATATACTAAAATAAAAATAGTTTATTCATGCGAAAAGTTGAATAGGATAATGCAAAAATTGAATTTAAGATAAATTTTAAGATAATTTGCGACTTTTTCGTGGAAATTTAACTAAAAAATTGTCTCATATGTTAGCTCTTAGTCTAGATTCTTTCAATTATCATAAATATTTGTGAAGATCATTACTCACTTTGAATATATAAGAATAATTGTACGGTCCTTGATTCGACATTTGTATGGATAAAACAAATGTTAATAAATGGATAATAAACACACGCGAGATAAAAAATCAAAAAAAAGAAATAAATATACTCTTTTTTCTCTAATAACGTTTAATTAATTTTTGGAATGATATTTAAAATTAAAATAGTTCGTTTGCCTTTAAACAACTCGATAATAATACATAGAAATCAAGTACTAAACGTCAAAGGTTTTCGAATACACATATAGCAACAAGACTAAAATTGGCAAAAGAATTGAATCAGAGGGACTATGCCACATTCCACTTTAAGAAAACCGTATGACTAAAATGAAATCATTATAAACCATCAATGTCCCTAAACAGCTGTCAAGTCACTTATGCAGTTTACAAAATATTAGGTGAATAAATAAAATCTTTTCATTCGTATACTGTGTGTCTATAATTAGTATTGCTTCAATGATATATGATGGATGTATCAGCAAAAAGCAATATAGATTTTCAGTAAAAAAAGCTTTTATTCCGTTTTCCACCCTAGGAAAAAATCCCATATTTTCTTAATTTCCTAGATTTTTTTTATTCTTCTGATATATGATAAGACTGATGGTAAAGATTATTTCTATTTCGTATATATTTTTCTGTTTTTTATAAATGAAACTCCATTGTATAAAAGTTGTGAAATTATAAAAACATAAAATGAAATCTCATGTTTTGTTTTTGTTCTTTTCCAACAAAACTACAATTACTGAGATTTTCTACTGTAGAGGGCGCTCAGTCAGTGTGCATGCCTTAGTAATTGAACGCGGAAAAGAATGAAATAAAAACAGGAAATGAAATTTTTGCTTTCTCATAAATTTACAACTGTTATCGAAAGAGTTTCCATTTCTGGTAGACGAAAAAGTGTTCGAGATAAGCATATCTTATGCATTTGATCACTGACCACTTTTGTTTCTGAAATGTGACATTTTTCGTTTTTTTTCTTGTGTGTCTTATAATCACTCGGTAAAATGATAGTCTCATCTTTACTGTTGCATGAAACGTTTTTCATGTTGCATTGTCCACTAGGAAATAACCTAGCATGTCATATCTTCAGTGTGAGATAAAAGCCCGGAATACTCGTTCTATCATGACGAGTCTGTGACAGTTTTGCAACAGGCGGGCGAAGTTGTCAACTATTTGTATCTGAGAGCAAAGAAGGGCGAGGTTTGCGTTCCGTATTCACGGAACTCAATGCATTTGTACGTTATGAGCATTTCAAGCTCGAAAACTTGGCTAACGTGAAGTTCACTATACAGCAAAATGATCGCTGCCAAACTGTTTATGAAGATGTTAAACCCGTGTATCAGTGTCTGCTGGAAATTAAGCCTAAGAGTGGTAATGTATCTGATATGAACGATTTAATAGTTTTCAATCAATCAAAAGAAATTTTGATCTGGAATCGAGACTCTATTATTTATCTTTTTCATATGCGGGATTTATTATAAATTTCGCAAAATCTGTGCTTGATCCCGCACAATGTATCTTTGACCATAAAAACTTTGTTTTGAAATTATAACTACGAAATAGAATTTGTTTTCACTGAACCGTAAAAAACTGAATTAAAATGGTGAATAGAATATTTTGAGAACACAATGGAAAATCGATAATAACGCAACTAGTCGATCTGATTATTTCATAAGATGCCTCCATGTTTCGATGGGGAGCGTATGCTGACAAAAGTCATATGGGAAGTTTCTGAAACCCAGAGGAAGTCCCGTTACGCATTAACATTGAAGAATTAATAGCCGCTTATTTTGCGGTAAAAGCCTTTTCTGAAGGACGAGAAAATTTGTACATATTCACGTGAAAATCGACAATACATCAGCAATCTCCTATGTTAATAGCCTCGAAGGTACGCGTTCTCCACTGCTTATCACAGAAGCAAAAGAACTGTGGGAATATTGCTTATTGAAAAAGGTCGACTTAACCACTGAATATGCCCCAGATTAATTTAATAAAAACGTGGATTGGGCTTTACGTTGCGCAAATGACAGTAGCAACTGGCAATTAGATTCAGTCATTGTTCAACGGTCGAACAACACTTGGTCTCTTTGATATGGATCGATTTGCAGATTGATTAAATAGACTGAAAAGATTTGTAAGCTGGAAACAAAATGTAGTACCTGCAGAAAGTGATGAAAGATCGGATAACGGCGGTAATAATTGTACCTACACTGTAAAAAGAATTTATTTTCTAATTTATAGAAAATCGACTTGAAACATCCTTGAGGATTTTAGACGGCTAGAAATCAACCGATGAAATCATTTGTCTACGACTGAGGCCAAAGAATGTGGAAAATGACAAGAACGGAGAGAGCTAGAAATGGATGCAACCAAAAGATACCAATTAACGCTAAAGATTGCCAACGACTACCAGATTTTTTTTGCGGATACTGCCTAGAAAAAAGCTTGTACCACACAATATCTTTTTCGCAAATTTCAGTTAGTATAAAGATCAATTGGCTGAGTCATACCACTGGAAGAAAAATATAAAGTTCATTTTGAGTTATTGAAAAGTGCTTTTTTGTATCTAGTACACTCGATAACCCAAAGATTTTCTATTTTTGGCGAGGAATACTTCCAAAAGTTTAGGAAAAATTTTGAAACAAAATGGTACAAAAAAGATTTCATTGGAAAATAATAGTAGTTTGAAAAATTTTTCTACACTTTTGGAAGCATCCCTTGTCAAAAACAGAAAATCTTCGGGATTATCGAGTATGCTGAAGATGAAAAAGCAGTTTTTATCAACTGAAAACCAACTTTATTTTTTTCCGGTAATATGTTTGTGAGTTTCTGTGGTAGAAATCTTGCTATGAAAAATGCTTTTCAGGAGTTTTTGGAGAACATCACATCCTTCGAAGAATAACTCCTAAGACTGCATATTTGACATTTTTGTCTTCCAGGCGTAAATGATATTTCACCGCGTGAGAACAAAAAAAAAAAAGAGTTGTATCTCCCTTTTTTGATCTCCTTTGAATGAGGCTGTCCATAAGGGGTCTTAGACAAGAAATGCATACAACCTTCTTTTCTAGTGAATGACATTAACTGCTGTTTTGTGTATGTTAACATCAAGCCATTTGACTTCAAAAATAAATCCAGCGCATGTGTGTTTTTATTGGAATCAAAAAGCGTTTTCTGATATGAGATGACTGTTTTGGCACGTTAGCAAGCAACCTTGCTTTGGGTACTACAAGCAGAGGTATCGAGAGTGATTATAAGGCTCTCATTTCTTCCCAAATCCTTTATGGATGAGAAGAGGCAACTTATAACCAAAGCAGAAATCGATAGACATATTTTAAGAAGCAGAAAATAGTTGGAAAATAATTTTCGGACGAAATTGTACGTATTCTATTTAAAAAATTACCAGATCTCTATGGTTGCTCTGGAAAATCAGTACTGATTCTATTCACATAAAAAAATGCCTCCCTTTGATACTCTCAAATGTTTCTCATTCGTTAGAACTATAAAAATTTCTCAAATGCTGAAATACGAGGAAAACTGGAATTTCAGGTTGAATACTTGTTCAAAACTAGTAAACCGCATAACTTTACAAAAAATGAGTATATTAGAGCTACAAGGAAAATTCGATGTTGGATGTCGATAAAACGGTAACTGTTTAATTGCAAAGAATACAGGCCTGGAAATTAACACAACTCCCGAATATGATTAGCTTTGATCACAATGTTTAATCCATATAAGGAAGCAACGAGCACTACGATTGCGAACCGGATCAAAGAGACTATGAGTTTAGTAGGGATAGACACAGAAAAATTCAGAATGCACTCCAGTAGAGCAGCAGCGGCAACATCAGAAACGAGAGAACAGCGATTTAGCATAGGTTTCATACAGCACACATTTTACTTCGTCAAATAAAGGTATGAAAAACTTTCTTTGAATAACTTGTAGTTAAAAGTCTGATGGAGAGAATATTAAGTTAAAACATTTTGTGAAGTTTATTCATAAAATTTTAATTTCATTTTGCATGTTTCATACTATAATAAAATTCTTAATTATTATTATCACTTTCAGTGGTAATTTTCTCCGCAAAACTTTTCAACACACGTAAAAAACCGAATTTTTGAAATAAGGATGTTTTTGAAAATGTTATCACTGTTATTGCTAGCACTTTTCTCGTAAAGTTGAGATATATCTAAACTCTGTACAAACCTTCGGTCCAGAAGTTAAAAATGTATTACGAAAAGGACGAAGTAAATGAGACAGTATTAAACTATAACAGCCACTCCCATCTCTGACGTAACTCGTCTTTCATTTTTAGAAATGGAGGAAGAAGGAAATGAAGTGAGAAATGTTAAATAGCTTTTTTCGAATGTTGTTTGCTTTTCAATTAAAATGCAAAATTGCGTGCAAAATTAAAATATTGAAACAGCAGTAATTGTGTTGTGTTTTGAGAAAAGGTTTTTGTAGCACTCTACATTATGAACCATATAGAAAAATTCACTTTTAAGCAGTTCGGTTTTGAGAGGTGATATTTCCTAGATATGTTGTATGTGTCAGAAGTAGGTTATACTTCAAATTTGTTTTTGCTAACATCCATCCATAAATTCAGAGGACCTCGTTTTGAGTCATTATAGCATCCCTAGAGAAAGTACTGACTTCAAGGTACCCATGTACTGAGAAAGCCTCAGCAAGGTACCCGATATGGGTACTTCGAAAATTCTTAGTAATTATACTAATGTAGGTACTGCATTTGGTACCCATAGCAGTATGTTTACTGAAC